CAGACCCATAAGGCCCTACAAAAAGCTATATGCAGATGAAATGTAATCATTTCTTAAGAAGAAAAAAAAAAAATCCTAATCCGGAACGGTGTCACTTTCAAATTTAAGTACAAGTTATTGTTCAGTATTTTTATAGTCTGTAGTAACTCCAAAATAGCCATTGCACCACACACGTTCAGTTAAGCAGAGCTGGCGTGGTTTAGAAGCAGCCAGTTCTGTTGTGATAGTGAGCTATAAATAAATGTGTAAATTAAAAGAAAAAGCTAAGCAACACATCAGTAATGCTCCCATATGACAGTGCTGTGGGAAAAAAAAAACAACCCAAAAGAGTCCAAAATAATGCAATACTTGAAGCAAGTCGACAGTAGTGCAACTGAACCACTTTACTCCAAACCGCAGCCCTGCAAGCTAAGAAACAGCAGTTAGAGTCCTAAGAAAAGAAAGGAAACAATTAAGTGTTAATAGCAGTGGAAGTCTGCTAAACTTAGCACTGGTGTTAGCCACAGCGAAATGATGCTTTGGGTACACCGGCTGCTAATGAACAGGGAAAGAGAAAGAGACCGAGTTCAGTTTGATTTGGTTTCTGATCACACTTTTAAAAAAAGGACAGTTTTGCAGCCACATGCCTGTGTAGGGTGTTTCTACAAGCCTATTTCAACTTCCTGAACACAGCAGAAAAACAGGTGCGTCAAAGAACTCTCTTCTTACAGATAAAATACATCAAGGGCTTCTGCTCTAATCTTTAAAACTTCATCCTCTAAACCCTTTCAATTTATATTCCTTTCTGTTATGGGATCTTAAACTAAGCCCGTTTTACAGTAAAAATCACGTGGCAGCCATATTATGCTTCTGCACAACCCTGATGTAGGCATCGCATATGGCACAAAGCAACAAGAAATGAAAAACACACTCAGGACTAGATGACGTGTGAGGGTTGCACTGTAGGTTTTAGGGTATCAGAGCTATTTGCTAAATGGATAACGTCAGTCATATCATTACGTTCTAAGATGCGCCTGATGTCTTCATGCAACACCTCTGTGGCAGCTGCAAGCACTACGAAGGATCCATGATCACAGACGCCCTCGGAGAGCATCTCTCTCTCCATTTCTGCCTCAGGGCCTGGGCACATTACACTAACTCCAGCATAACTTACATTCGTTTTGTATTGCAACCTAAAGGAACACTGCTTTCCAGACCAGACAGAAAGAAAAAATCTCCTGGAGGCAATGTCAGCATATGAGCTATTTTTATAACTTACAGCTCTGCAGCTAAGTGCCATGTGTTCACTCCTCTTTATACTGGTTTAAGGCGAGTTATACTGGTGTGAAAAAGTAAGTGTCCAGGTGCCCAGTCCAGCTCACAAGAACGCACCATGGACTGTATTCAAGCTGCTCAAAGATCAAAAATATTTTGCATTTAAAAGAGATTTAAAAAACCCAATTCCCTGACCTGTCACTTGTTAATCAGGGGGGCATGCTTATAAACAGGACGCAGCATGACTGGCACACTCGTTATGCAAATGTCCAAATCCTGCCTTTGCTCTTAACTGTGAGCTATCTATAGGGTCGGAAATAAGAGAATGCACAACAGGAAACAAAGTACTGGTAATGGCTGAATTCAGAAGATGGGAAGACAGATAAGGCATTAGTAATAAAGGAATAAAGGGAATTCAAACCACTGAGAAAGGCTGAAGGAGAATATAAAAGCAAGCACCTAACAGGGTGAATAAAAACAGATTAAAAAAAAAAGCAGGTTTACGGAAGCATTCCACCTAGCTTCAGCACAAGCCACAGAAACCAAGAGCAAGATGAGCAGCATCTTTCTTAAGCGAGAAGAGATGTACACACGCTATACTAAAAAAGGAAGTAAAGTTCAAGTGACAACCAGATTCAAGTTCACAAGTCTCAGCTTTTTCCAGAACAGCCAATAATCAACTTCTAAAACAGGTCAGGGAGTAGCAATTTCTTCCACTGCCTTAGGTATCTAACTGTCAAGAAGGGTTACAAGAAAAAACAAAAACCCTGAACTCACTTCTCAACAGGGAAGTAAAGGAGAAAACTATTCAATCATTTCATTGAAGTAAGATTATGTGAAGATTGTTTCTTAAAGCAGACTTTCACTTCTCCTTTAAGTCCAAGGATCCCAATTCACTTCTGCAAGCTGCAGCAGTTGGTTTTTAACTGCCACCTGATAGCACAGTAATTGGCCTGGCACACTGCTGGAAGTGGAAGGCCCGTCAAGCCCATTGGCAAAAGATGCCACCTGAATCAGAGAACACATTCTTCCAAAGCAAGTAATATCCTGAGTTGATGCCTGACTCATGTGTACACGCTATTTTTATCAATGGTGCATTTTTATTCTATGGGGAAACAGAAACAATAGGAACGCTACTAAGCTACCGCTGCTCCCCAGATAAAGACTATCCAGAGTATATCCTTCAGAGACAAATTAGCGTATTGTACTATGGTTGCTACCTCTTCCTAGGATGAGATGAAGAGGGAGTGGAGAAGCAGCTAAAACTCCAAGGGCTGTGGCTGAGACAGATGTGGGCTTACCAGATGCTGCAGGCCCAACAACTTCACTACTATGGGGCTGTCAAATCTTCAGCAGACTGACTCTGAGAGAGTGCTAGTGACAGCCCCCAAGGGACTAGTCACGTGGCATTTCACTTGGAAATATTTATTACACTGGCCCCAAACCTTGATATCTTGACACAGAAATCTGAAATTAAATTTTCAAAAGATAAACAGCAACCAAGAAATCTATGAAATCTACGGCAAGTCTCATCTGGAGCTCTGAAGCAGAGCTCCACAAGGCTTGTGAACGGAAAGCTATGCATTTGACAAAAAGCAGGGCTAAAATGTCTTTGCGACACATTTGTTCCACTTTGACCTTCTACATTTGAGAAGTTACCTGGAGAGCAAATTGTTATGCAGAGACTTGCAAGGCACTACCTAAAAAGCTGAACCACTTAGAAATCCTAATAAAGCAAGTCCTGGAGGGTCATGGAAGAGTGAACAAAAACAGACATTAATAAAGGTGCCATTATATAAACACACCATAATTCAAAGTTATGAAAACAAATTTATGCAAAGTAAATGGTTCCATCACTTCCCATTTTTGTTTAAAAATGACATGCGAAGAGTTGCTAGGGCTTCATCCATTTAACAGTTGCTTGACTGAAAACAAACTTAACTGAACGGTTAGTTCCACGTTTTTTTTTTTTTTTTTTAACATATATAAAAAGACAAAAAACACCACTGCTCTGGGTGTGCATCAAGCAAAGCTAAATAACAAGGCAGTCACTTCCTACAACTCCCACCATTTTCCATGCCAGACAAACCTAGCAACCTCACTCTGCTCCTGACACTGAAAATGTCCTAATTCTCCTCCCACCCAAGATGCCAAGGAAGCTATACGGGCCGCAGAGCATGGTGCACTGCTCAGCAGATTCAGGTTATTTTGGTCAGAGGGGAAGAACAAGTTCCATATTTAACATGCTCTCAAAGATGACATCATGTCAGCAGGCCCCACCTTTTAAACTAAAAAGACTCCATCTCAACCATCTCTGCTGACCCCGATTGTGGCAGCTGAGTCAAGGGAGGCAGGTCTCTGTCTAATACGACTTTTGCAGACCAAAATTAAACCCACTTAGAAACCAGCTTGCAGCCATAAAGTAATGGGCCAATACCCTCAAGGAGAGATACCTCATTTAATAAGCGGCCTGCCAAATTCCACTTCAACTCCTGCAAGCAGCAGTCAAAACTGAAATGATAAAAATGACCTACTATGACTGGATTAAATGAAGCATACAAGGAGACACCATGCTGCTTCAAAAACCTTTTCCGTAGCCACGTGTGTGCATGTGCACACACGCAGGGGGTGACAAGGTAAAACTCTACAGACCCTCCCAAATGTGCTTGCAAGGAAGATGGAAATTACCCTCTGAGAATTTTCAGCAAGGAGAGAAAGGACTTTTTGGGGTCCGCAGTCAAGTCAGCAAAGCCTGAGATCAATGGCATCAAATGGCTAGGCAGACTGAGCAGTACCAACAGGAACAGCAGGTCTTCACCCGTCACTGGGAGACCACCTACCAGCGCCTCTTGTTCTGTACCCATACGGCTGAGCCTCAGGGAGACCCAAAGGACAGGTACAAAGGCCAAACATCAATGTCACTGTAGTCTCTCTCTAAAGAGAGGGCTGTGAGGGCAGTGCCATGAAGTAAGGAGGGCGAGCATAGCTTTTCTCAGTGGCCAGCAACAACATTTCTAAACTACTGATAAAGTGATCTGCTGAAAGAACAGCCTCCCACAGAGACCTCTGGATAAGGTCAGGTTCCATTAGACTCAAACAGGTCCTTCACATGCCCAGGAGAGACTGGCTCCAACTCAAATTCTAGTAGAGGGCTGAATGGAGATAAGAAGAATTTAAGTCTCAATTTTATTCCCCCCTCACCGCAGCCTCATACGTTTCCATCTGGTTTTTTTAATTAAAAAAATGAAGCACATGCTCGGAGCTGAAATACAAATTCAGAGAGCAGAGGTCATGACTCCAGTTTCCAAAACGAAATACTTCATTTTCAACTCTAAACCCCGCCCCCCGGCTATACTAACGTCCTTGCCAATTAATGTACAAAAGAACTTTACAGATATACTCACTCCAACATGGAGTTGTTCTCAGATGCATAAAAATCACATGCCTGCTTAGAACAGAAATAATCTTATTCTTTATCCTAGTGTAACTCAATTCAAGACTCAACAGCCAAGAATGCTCAGATCTAGAATACTGATCTCTTCTTTGTCCTCTCACTGCTTTCACTCTAGCCCAAAATATTTCACTTCAAGTTTGATCTTCTCTAGCTAGCTTTAAGTCTCCTTCACCACCAAACTTTTTGTTCTCACTGCCAGACACTGGATTAACCATTAAGCTGTGCGCTCAGTGTCCCACCCACTCAGCTAGACATGTGCTGTAAGTACTAGCAGTAAGGTTTTCCGCATTACCTAGGCTGAGAATTCTCCTCGTACATCCTTTCTTTCCCTTCCTTAAAGAGGCTGATGGTCTGTTTGGTCTTCTTCATCAAGTTCTCCATGAACACCCTGAAGTACTCATTTTCTCCCAGGGTCTCCATCTTCCCCTCGTAGCGTGACAGGATGGTTCGGAGATGCTGGTACGTATCAGGCAGCAGATCTAATATGTAGGGCGGGCTGTTCTTCAACGCCAGCTTTGGGTTCTGACACAGACGCACCACCTGCATGGAAGGAAAAAGGCCGAGTCATCAGTCTGAGACCACGAAGATTTAACAGCAACAAAGATTGCGCGGAGCTGGTCACCAGCCTTTCCCAAAATCCAAGTGCGTGTAAGACACAATGACGGACAAATAAACAGTCCCACATGCAACTGCGGGTGCTCAAGTCCCCGTAGAAATTCCAACTGTCAGAAAAAAAGGAGAATCTTCCTGACTAACACATTTTCTTCCTGGTGTCTAGGTGCCAGGAGGTTAGGTCTTGCACTGAATTCATCTTATGAAGTGTGATGCAGGAATATTCAATAGGCAGCATTTTTAAATGACAGAGCTGCTGACTTGCTAAATGCAAAGTGCTTCTATCAAAGGAGACACAGTCTAGACTTTTTCACATTGCAATTTACCAGCATAATTATATTGATACAGCCACATCCCACTTCCCCCAACCCCAAACAGCCCACTGCAGCCTCAGCCTGCAAGGGGAAACCCATAGTTTCTTGGGTTTTTCTCCTTTAAAGGAGAATATCTGAATTTTTGTTCTTTAAAAGAGAAAATCCACATTTTGATGCATTTTTCTGCAGCAAATGAAAGACCCAGATCCCTAGTTATCTG